TTTTTTTCCCGTGGAAACGGCTTTATTTCAGGAGCTGAAGAACAATGCATGAAAGCTGCATGACCCAGGGCTACAAGGAGACGTGAGGCTTTGGGAGAGGGCTGCTGCGCAGGTGTCTCCCCTGGAACTGCAGAGCATTCCAGCAATGCGAGAGGCTCCAAAGCTTCTCAGTGGCATCTCTTTCTGCCACTTCACTATGTAAAGGGGAGACCGCCTCTGCCAGGGCATCTCTTCTGTGGTGTGACTTGCAGCCATCTGCTCCCTGCACAGTGCCCACAGAGCAGACGCATCTTCACTGCTGTGATGCAGCGCACGTGTAGGGCACCATTCACTTTAGCCAGATCCACTTGTCACCCACCTCGGCGTTGTACCCTGGGGCATATCTGCGTCCTGGCAGCTCTCTGAATTTGTGGAAGACCCGGTCAGTTTGGTGAGCTCCAACTGTAATTTCTGGGAGATACACAGGGATAGTAGTGAAATTCAGCACTTCCAACTTATCTTGAACCAGCATCCGCAGTTTGTGAAGGCTATGGTCATCCTGCTTCAGCCAGGGTCCTTTGTCATATTTGAGGTATTCAATGTCCTCTACCACCTTTACTGCATCTCAGATGTCCCTTGCACTGTATATCAAAACCTCACATTTCTCACTCATCTCAGGGAGAAAGGTCTTCTTATAGGCATTCTCGATGTCCTGGAGATAGGCAGAGGTGACCTTCATTTCATGTGGGTCGCCCTTCTCCTGGATTCGCTGCTGGACCTCCGGCACAGGTATATCAATATAGACCACCACATGGGGAGGCAGGTACTCCGGGGCAGTGAGTTTCTTCACCTCATTATAGTGGTCCACACACTGCTTCCGAATGTAGCCCTGGTTATACATTGCCTCCAGGAAGACAAAATCGCTGTAGATGGAGCGCTCCAAGACCACACCTTGTCCCGTGCTCAGCAGGTGCTCCAGGGCATCTGCATACTGCACGAGGCGATTGCAGTACAGCCAAGACTGCAAGCGGTAGCTGTTGCCATCATTGCTGTGCGGGTTATCATAAAACTTCTCCAGACTACAACTGCCAGTGAGCTCCTCATCCAAGGGTTTCCCATCTCCTGAGATGCTGGATATGTAATGGACCCCTGCTTCTGGAAAGTGCTTCAGGCCTAAACTCTCTGCTATTGTTTTTGCGACCCTGCCCTTCCCAGTACATAAGTTGCCGTCTACAGTTATCACTTTGCTTCCTTTTGTCAGTTTTCTGGACGCCTTGTCACCAAGAAGGTTCGCCAAAGCCCCATATCGCAGCTTGGTCTGTACGCTGGTATGAATTTGTCCCATGCTCTGGGCACCGGCCACGAGGCTGCCCACAGACAAGCAGGCCGGCGCCAGGGTCAGGAGCCTCAAGGCCATGGCTGCGCCGTCCACTCAGCCTCAAGGACCCGAGGGGACGTGCCGCGGCGGGTCCTCTCCTGCCAAAAAATGGGATTATTATACTTACTGTTCTATATTTTGATTTTCTTAGATGTGCCACATGGAAATGTCTTGATGACCAGAAAGTGATCCAGGGGGGCAGGGAGATAGAAAAAGTAAAACAGAAAGTGATCTAATATTCTTTTCCTTCTTCTGGCCATAAATTTATTCAACAGGAAATGTTCTCCAACTTTACTGACATGGTTGACTACAGCCGTGGCTAAATCTGCCTCTCAACTGGAATTTAGTTGCTGACCTGGCTGCAGCCTTGGCATTGTTAGCACCAGGGGCCAAGTGCTCCATCTGTAGGTATCTCTGCGGGCTTTCCCTCTTGCTAGTCTTGCACGTCTCTCACACTCCAGACCTTGGGCCGAGGTCTGTAGGTCTCAAGACAGCTGCAGCTCAAGGTGGTAGGCACAGTTGCAAGAGGCAGGTGGAAGTAATCGTAGAGATACCAGATACCCTCACAGGCAGGGTACCAGTAGGTATGTCTCCAGGCAAAGTGTTCCTCCACGTAGCTTGCCTTCATGATGTGAAGGCTGGGTGCATTCCTGTCTGCCAGCTCTGTGTGGTTGGGCATGTAGCCGTCCTTCTTGGCTACCATTACTCCTTCCTCCAAAGGGAGTTTGTAAATGGCAATCCAGTACTTCTCGGGCATCAACAATATGGCAGCTGTAGGGTTTGAGACCATGGCTGGAAAAAATAATTTATTCTCTTCAGTGACTAGTATATCATGACATGGAGTTATGATGCAGAGTTTTACTTAACCATTTTGTTTAGCTATAAACAATGGAAAGTAGTTTAGTGGTAAAGGATTGAATGTAGGGAAGTTAGGACTTGTAAAACTGTTAAAGGAGCCCACATAACAGGTTCTGGGCTGAGCCTCCAGATATCATGAACACAACAATCCTATGAAGGCTGCTTCCCAAGGAACCTGCTACCTCTGTCACCCTGCAAGGTGCTGTCTCAGCTGCTAGCTCCAGAATTGCACAACCTGACCTGTAACTTGGCGATAAGGAAGCAACACCAGAATTTGTCCAGCCTGTACTAGTATATTTGGGCTTTTTGTTTTTCTTTTTGTATTTTAGGGAAGGGTCTACAGGGTGTGCAGGGTCTCAGTACTAGATCAGCCTTGTAGCGATCCACCTGTTTACAGCCTCCCAAGAGCTGGGATTACAGGCGGGTGCCACTATACCCAGTCTCAATTGCTGTCTCAGCACGCCCTGGGTTAGGGCCAGCACAGCAGGCCTGGGGATCAAACTTCAGGTCCCTGCACCTGCTTGCACTTTAATCCACTGAGCTATTTGGCTGGCTCTTGTACTAGTATATTTGATTGGGAAATTAAATCCCAATCTAGAACCCCAGCTTCCAGGGGACTTGCAAATAGTCTTCTTTGTGTTACTAGGAACCGTTGGATTCATTTTTCATGATCTCTTCTTGTTTCTAAGGAGTTTCTCATTAACTGACAGCAGCCCCATCTTCTAGTTCTGAGACTCCTCACATTGGTCACTTCTACTGCCTATACTTTCAATAGGACTTTTTTCTCCTCCATTTCCACTTGGAGTGCTTTTATAAATTCTATTTTTTTCTATGTTAATTATGCATGTTTTACATCATTTTGTTTAGCTCTTCTGTCTTTTTATTAGTGTTTCTTAGACTTACTAATGATTTTGCTTCATTGACCTAATATCTTATTATTTACATCTTCTGTGAACATACCAACTGCCTTCATGAAATGTTTTCTCCCCTGATACCATTTGAATAATTAGGATATGAGGCTTTTAGTTTCCTCCCCTTTACTGCCCCATGTCTGCTTTGAGGGACTTGGCAGATTTATGGCTTGTCTTCTTAGTTTTTATTTTTGTTTGATTGTTTTATATTGAAATTTGTGGGTTTATTGTAGTGGAAAGTTTTATTAATCTAAGATTAATTAGAATTAGTGAAAAATCACAAGTTAGCATAAATGACATTTAAAAGAAACCTGTTTATTGAAATCATAGCTTAAAATGTTCCAAATAAGATAAAAAAAATTCACAGAGGTATCAAAAAAGAACTTGTTCCAGGATTTTGATACATCCTAATCAAAATCCTGGAAGTCCAACACAAGAACTAAATTTCAAAAGCAGTTAGAGAAGAGCAACAAATCACTTAGGAAAATCCACTAGAATTACTGCAGACATTTCAACACAAACTTTAAAGGCTAGGAAAGCTGGAGTGAAGTATTTGAAGCCCTGAAACATTTTCAACTTTAGGCTGACATATCCTGCAAAACTATCTTTAAACATTGGTGGAGAAATAAAATACTTTCATGATAAATAGCACCCAAAGAAATTCATGACCACCAAACCAGCACTTCAAAAAATTGTCAAGGATAGCCTAAGAAGAGACAATGAAGCTAACAATACAAAATATCTAATAAGAATGAATACAACAGGTGGGCTGAGCAGTTAAACAGACGGAAAAGATAAGAGGAAAGTAAGTCAATGACAGGAATAAGTCAATCCTATCAGTAATAACTCTCAATGTGAATGGTCTCAGTTGCTCAAAAGACTGGCAGAATGGATCAAGAAACAAAATACAGCAGTGTGCTAGATATGAGAAAAAAATTTTAACCCCAAAAGAAACTTACAGACTAAAAATCAAAGGACAAAAAATAACATTCCAGGGATGGGGAGATAGCTCAGTGGTATAAGCACCTGCCTGGCAAGCGCAAGAACTAGAGTTGATCCCCCATACTTCATGCCTTGCTGGTCCTGCCCTGGGTGTGCTGAGTTGGCCACTGAAATCTGGTGTGGTGGTGCATGCCTGTAATTCCAATGCTGGGGAGGCTAAAACAGGAGGGTCAGTATGAGTCTGAGCTGTATAGTGAGACATTGTACCAAATAAATAAATTAATTAAAGATTGAAATAATAATAATAATAGTAATAGTAATAATAAATGAAACAGGAAATCAAAAAAGCAAGTATACCTGTCTTATAGTCAGATAAAGTGGACTTTAAGCTAAAGCTGATTAAAAGAGGCAGAGAAAGTCCCTGCACATTGATTAAGGAAACAATCCAACAAGAAGTGGTAACAATTATTAACATATATGCACTGAAAAGAAAACCTACACAATTAAAAACCATTTTTGCATGTGATTCCTCAAACAGAGGATACATATCTGGAAATATAAAGAACTAAAAAAAAATTAGAACCCCTTGAAATAAAAAGACCCAATCAAAAAATGAAACAGGTAATCATGGCTCTCCTCATGATAATTTGCCCTGCTTTCTCCAGGGTGTTTTTTTTTTTTTTTTTATCTTGCTTCTCTCTTTCTTTCTTTCTTTCTTTCTTTCTTTCTTTCTTTCTTTCTTTCTTTCTTTCTTTCTTTCTCTCATATGAGGAATTGAACTCATGACCTTGCATTTGCCAGGTAGGCACTGTGCCACTCAGCTATTTCCCCTGCCCCTGCATCTTCTCCTTTTACTCAGTCCAAGCTTACTCTGCAGAACCAGTTTCTCTTTCACTTTTATCATTTCATATAAACTTTGCTATTGCTAAAAAAAATGGGCAAAAGAAATGAATAGACATACAGAAGAGGTATAAATGGCGAATAAATACATGAACCAATGTTTGACATCACTGGCTATTAGAGAAATGCAAACTTAAACAACACTGAGATTCCATCTCACCCCAGAAAGAATGGTTATCATCAAGAAAATCAACTATTAACAAGTGCTGGTGAGTCTGTGGGGAAAAAAGGAACCCTTCTCCACTGTTGGTGAGAGTGTAGATTGGTACAATCACTAGGGATATCAATATGGGAATTCCTCAAAAACCTAAACTGGAAATTCTACGTGACCCAATTTTTCCCCAAAAATCTTCCTCAAAGAGTTAAAGACATCATATTATAGTTATACCCATGTTCACAGTAGCAATACAGGATAGCCAAATCTTGGAAGTGGCCTGTGTGTCTATCACCAAATGAAGGAATAAAGAGAATGTGCTATTTACCCAGAATAGAGTACTAGCCTGCCAAAGAGAAAGATGAACTTGAGTCACCGTAGCAGAATAGATGTAACTTCAGATTGTATTTAGTGAAATAAACATACAAGCATAAATATTGTATGGCTGTCTGTTTGGAGGGGGTGCCTAAGGGTTTGAGAGGGCATGAAGTATCTACAGATGATTAGAAGTAGTATACAGGAGGAAATCACTTATATTCCTAGTTTTTCATTTAAACTATTATTGTTGTTTTCCCAAACTATTTAAAATAGTGGACTTAGATGTTCTACAAAGTCTTTTTCTTTCTTTCTTTTTTGTTTTTGTGGAACTGGGGATGGAACTCAGCCTCTTGCGCTTGCCAGGGAAGCGCTTATTCTACTGAGCCATTTCCCTGGCCCCCCATCTACAAAGTCTTACACATCAGCCCAACACATGAAATAGAGAAAAGCAGAGCTACTCTGAATGAGGAAGGGGTAGGAAACATGAGTCCTGGTCATGGTCTCTACTCTACCCATCCCAGTCTTCCCCATGTACTCCTGGGGTTAGAAGCCTTCAAAGATGTTCAGAGCAAGCAGGAAACAAAATATAAGGCAAGCCAAAAACCAAAGCTTCAGGACAAACCAAATGGTTGATCTAGAAGATCTCAGCCCTATTCTATACTCCTTCCACACAAGGAACACCAGGGAGGCATATATGACTTACCCATATCCTCCACTTCCCTATTTGCAAAGAAAGGTTTTCTTGAAGGTGATAGCAGCAGGCTATGGGTTCTCGTGAGTTTACAGAATATGTGTAAATCAGAGATCTTACTTGTTACATATCCTGTTTGAGCTATACAACAGGTAGATCTTTCAGCCACGGTTTACATGTGATCGTTTTGTCCTTAAGTGTGGGCTTTGCTGTGCTACTAGTTACCCGAGCATGAACTTTGCTGTCCTATGCTAGTTTTAATGTAGGTATGTTCCACATCCCTGAGAGATTCTCAACACAACAGAAAGAACAGATGTTAGAG